CCCTACGTCTAATAGGAGAAAAGTAGGCCCAAATCTTCATCCTGTTGGATTAGGCCCAACTTCCTTAATAAGACTCCTATAAAGTGCAAGAATTAAAATCAAGAATCAATAAATGAAATGGATTCAAACTGAAAAGTTTCTTCTCAGCACAGGAAACAATCTGTGAGGTGAATAGAGAACCTACTTCTTGGGAGCAAATTTTTACCCCTCACACATCAGATAGAGCACTAATCTCTAGGATATATAAAGAACTCAAAAAGCTAAACACCAAAAACACAAATAACCCAGTCAGTAAATGGGCCAAGGACCTGAACAGACACTCCTCAGAGGAGGATATATAATCAGGCAACAAACATGAAAAAAAGTTCATCATCTCTAGCAATTAGAGAAATGCAAATCAAAACTACTCTAAGATACCATCTCACTCCAGTCAGAATGGCAGCTATTAAGAATACAAACAACAATAACTGTTGTCGAGAATGTGGGGGAAAAGATATACTCATACACGGCTGCAGGGACTGCAAATTGGTACAGCCAATATGGAAAGCAGTATGGAGATTTCTTGGAAAACGGAATGGAACCCCATTTGACCCAGCTACCCCCCTCTTCTCGGTCTATATCCGAAGGACTTAAAAACAGATTAATACAGGGACACAGCCACATCAATGTTTGTAGCAGCACAGTTCACAATAGCTCAACTGTGGAACTAACCTAGATGACCTTCAGTAGATGAATGGATAAAAAAAAGTGGCATATATACACAATGAAATATTACTCAGCAATAGAAGAGAATAAAATCATGGCATTTGCAGGTAAATGGATGGAGTCAGAGAAGATAAAGCTAAGTGAAGATAGCCGATCCCAAGAATACAAATGCCGAATGTTTTCTTTGATATAAGGAGACTGATTCATAGTGGGATAGGGAGAGGGAACATGGGAGGAATAGATGAACTCTAGATAGGGCAGAGGGGTGGGAGGGGAAGGGAGGGGGCATGGGGTTAGAAATGATGGTGGAATGTGATGGACATTATTATCCAAAGTACATGTATGATGGAGACATTGCAAATCCATATGGAAATCCATATGCAACAAAATGAAATTAAAACCCTATCTCTCACCATGCACAAAACTCAACTCAGTGGATCAAGGACCTAGGAATTAAACCAGAGACCCTGGATATTGGTGTAAATATACTTTATATACAACCAGAGATATGAAAAATTGTGCTCTATATGTGTAATATGAATTATAATGCATTCTGCTGTCATATATTTTTTAAAAAAAAGTATATCCTGGGTGGGGTTGTGGCTCAGTGTTAGAGCACTTGCCTAGAATGTGTGAGGCACCAGGTTCAAGTCTCAGCACTGCATATAACTAAATGAATAAAATAAAGGTAAAAAAAAAAGTTGTGTTCTATGTATGAAAACATCTTGAAATATAGAAATACATGAGATTTTCTATCACTGAATAAAGGTTATAGAGTTTCTAGAGTGTTATGCCAGTGGATAGTAATCTATGAAGAAGAGATTATTCATTGATCACTTAATAAAACAACTAAAATGTTGGAATATCCCCATTAGAGATGTGTTACATTGTACCATATTCTTGAGGTACAATTCCTAGGTTTATGATAATCTAAGAATTAATCTAGAATTTTATGGATTCTGTCCCAGTTCATCTGTGTGCCTGTTATCTGTGGAATCTTTTGCTTATGGAGCCTCTGGGACTTTAGGTTTTGTTTTTAAAACAAAATTGTGTAGTATAGGTATGTAAATATCCATAATAACAATAATCTGATCTTGTGGAGAAGCAGTAAGTAGTACATTGTGTCCACTCCTGTCCTGCCACACTGTCTTACTTTGGCCTGTTGACTATCATTGCTTGTTTTAAATGGGGAAAAAAAAAAACTACCTGGAAGTTTCAAGATTGGCCCATTGTGAACATTGGATTAGCTTCCATTTCATAGTTAAGTGAAGGGCTCTGTAATCACTGCTTTGTTTCTTTCAAGTAACTAGATATGCTTTGCAGGATTCGTACTTAAATTACGCACTTATTCAGCAAACATTTATTGACTACCCCAAGCACCCCTGTGGGTACTGTGGTTGTTAGGTAAATGGACAAAATAGGCAAGGTCTCTGCATTCTTTGAGCTTACCTTCTAGTGGGGAGAGGTATGTAAGTAAGTAGGTACATGTACTTACTGTTAAATGCTGTAAATAAAACAGTAATGGGATTGAGCAGGCTGTTTGAATGAGGTGCCTTCATTGTACATTTGAACATAAATTCTTTGTGGAACAGAATTAATGTTTTGTTATTTGTTGTTTTCGGAGTACCTAAAACAGTACATAATAGGCGCTCATTAATTATTTGTTGAGTAAATTGATTCATTGGGTAAGAACGCCATTGTTAATAAGATACACATCTTCAACCCTCTTCTTGGATACTTAGGAGTTGCCTCAAGACATCTTAGAGATTAGGGGTGGGGGGTTTCAGATCTGTTTGGGCAGATGAGAATTCTGCATGTCCCTGCTTGGTTGAACTTCAGTCTTACATCCTTCAGTGGGTTATAGTGTGGGAGGCACAGAGCTCTGAGAAGCTGGATGCTCCTGAACGCTGTGTGTAGATAATCAGTGGGTCACACAACACTTATCACATGGGAGGGAGGTGGTCATCAGGCGTAGAGAGTTCTTTCCAATCCACCTGTGTCTACGCTGTATTTTTAAAGTGAATGTTTTGAAGAAATGTTTGTGTTAGGCAAAGGGAAGAACTCTTAAAAATTACACATGACCATGCCTCACCCCCATTTTTTTCAGTTAGTTTGGAGGATAGAGGGGGGTAGACAGAAGAGAAGTGTTTTGTGAAAGTTTTTCAGATGTTCCCCAGGTGGAAAACTGATTATTCTTATGTAGAATGGGACTAGATCCTTATCACCCTGCACAAAAATCAACTCAAACTAGATAAAAAACCTAGGAGTTAGAACAGAAACTACCTAACTCCTAGAAGCAAATGTAAAGTCAACACTCCAGCACATAGGCACAGGCAGTGACTTTCTCAGTAGGACCCCTAAAGCTCAGGAAACAATGCCAAGAGTTAATAAATGAGATACCATCAAATTAAAAGCTTCTGCACAGCAAAGGAAATAAGAAAATGAAAGAGAAACCACAGAATGGCAGAAAAAGCTTTGCTACCTACTCTTCTGACAGGATTAATATACAGAATATAAGAAACACTCAAAAAACTTTACACACACACACACACACACATACACAGACAAATGAATTAAACAGATAACCCTCACAAGAAGAAATACAAATGGCCAACAAACTTGAAAAAAGTTCAGCATCATAAAAATTAGGGAAATGTAAATCAAAACTACACTAGGATTTCATCTCACTGCACTCAGAATGGCAATCATCAATAATACAGTAATGTTAGAGAGGATATGGAGAAATGGAACACTTATATACTGTTGGTGGCATCATAAGTTAGTACAGCCACTATGGAAATCAATATGATGTTCCTCAAGAGACTAGAAATAGAGCCACCACATGACCCAACTATACCACTCTTCAGTATTGATCCTGAAGAATTTAAATCAGTGTACTATAGTGATGGATGCATACCCATGTTTATAGCAGTACAATTCACAATAGTCAAACTATGGAACCAGCCTAGATGTCCACCAGGAGATAAATGGATAAATAAAAATGTTGTTTTATTCAGCCAGAAAGAATGAAATTTATGTAATTTGTTAGAAAATGTTCTAATTCCTAGGTTTTTGATCTAGTTTGAGTTGACTTTTGTGCAGGGTGATAAGGATCTAGTCTCATTCTACATATTGTTAGGCAAAATAAACCAAACTAAAAAAGTCAATTGTCATGTTTTCTCTCCTATGTGGAAGCAGGAGAGAAAAGGTGGGGGAAATCTTTGAGGGCAGGGGATCTCATGAAAATGGAAGAGCAATCAGGAGACTGGAGGAGACCAGGGGAAGGAAAATGACACTGGGCAAATTATATTGTTATAGTGTATGCATGTAATAACAAATCTTGCGTACAACTATAATGCACCACTTTTTAAAAAATTATGGGAAGAAAGTTCCCATTCTCCAGTTAGAAACACAATTGCATGTCCATATTTAAATATGCATATATAATACTTGTTTAGTTGCCAATTATCTAGTGCACTTCAAAAAATTTTTGAGTTATAAGAGCCATAGGTTTCTCTTTTTAAATATTTTATTGTCATGACTTATTTCATAAATTAAGATAATGCTTTCTCTAGTGTTAAAGTGCTGAGTGACAGTAGGTAGTTGAGGATCCTTAAAGTTAACTTTTAAATTGGGTTTTCACTGAACAGTCTTAAATTTGGTTAGAGTAGGCCCCTGTCACCTAATATAAAGGAGGAAAAAATTTTTTGTTTTGAAAAGAGACAAAGAAATTGTCTTTTTTGCCTTCTGGTGAGTGCTTCAGAAAGTTCCTGGGTGTTCACAGCTATCTTAACCCTGTTAATGTTTTAGAGAACTGATGAGCAGTGAAGTGTTACATTCACTGGGCAACAGTGTCCCCTAGGGTACGCCTTACATTTCCATTTTGGAAACTTCTAACACACTTGGGCAAACACCTTTTGTCAGCCTTTGTGTGTGAAACACAGCAAAGGTAGGTTATGATTGTGTCCGAATGCTGCTTCAGCAGAACATGAAACCTTATTTGAAAGCTGTTTGACTAAGTTTTGCGGTTAATGAGCATTCTGACAGTACATTTAATCTGTTTGTAGGTTACATTATTAGTCAGAGGCAGGACTAAAGTAAACTCTCAGTTAAATATTACCTTAATTTATATCATTTTGTTTTTAATTACTTGAGTACTCAAGGCCACAGAGGGAAGAACATTGCTTACGTATATTTTATAGTTTAATCTCTTAGAATGTGCTATTCTCTGTTGTTTAATAAAAGTTTCAAAACTGTAAACATTCTTAAAAGATATATATCTTTTTTTAAACTAGTGTTCAGAATCAAGTGGATGAAGTTATCGATGTCATGCAAGAAAATATTACAAAGGTAATTGAAAGAGGGGAGAGACTAGATGAACTACAGGACAAATCAGGTACAGATACTTCATATTTTTTGATATTATTGATCTGTTTTACCAATTTATGTCTTCCTTCTCTTGTCTAGCCAGCATTTAGGAATTTTGGCTTAGGAAATTAGTATTTGATTCTTAGATGTGTGACCTGTATAGTTTAATTTTCACTCCCTTTATTTGAATCCTCTTATTGTATTATTTCCTTACTGTTCAGTGGAGAATTTAAAATTCTTATTGAAGTGTGAAGAGTAGAACTACGTTTTCCTTTTGCCCCAGTATGTGGATATGCTTTATGTTTCTCATGATCTGAAGATATAAAGGTCTGATTACTTTTTTCCAAAACTTTTCCAAACTTTCTGATAGTTTTATTTTATGGTAACTTAAGTAATTTTTCTTTACTGACGATGTTCCCTCTGTACTAACAGTTTCTGGCACTCACTAGGCACTCAGATACTGTTTGATGACTAGCAGAATACATGGTAACTTACGAGGTCTCTGGTAACTTAGTGACTTTCTTTACTGGCAGATGTCAGTCTTTGCGCTTCTAACAGTTCCTGGCACACATTAGTCCCTCACTTGTTTGAATAGTGAATGGCTGAATACCTGATTAATTCTCGTCAGACTTGCTTGACCAAGAGACTTGCTTAATTGCTTTAAGAGTTCATAACATTTTCTTTCAAAATCAGTCAGTTTTCTAAAAATCTAAGTTTCTTCACTTGTAATTTTTTCTTAGCAATGTACCAAGTTTTTGTTTTTGTTGTTTTGTTGTGATTTTTCTGGTTCTAGAGATTGAACCTGGGGCCTTATGCATGCAAAGCAGGTGGGTGCTCTACCACTGAGCTATACCCAGTGCCCAGTATTTGTTTTTTTAAGGACTATTTTCTCACCAGCATTTATAAGTTTTTGTAATATGCATCCAGCCCCTGGGAATGCGTCTCTCATATCGCAGTGAAAATGAATTGAGCTAACTGACCTGCAGCTGTGTTTTGTTTTTAGTTTTAACTAGGGAGAATGGTGGAATTTGTGGGTGGAGGATGTTTTCATACTTAAGAAGGAACAAATTTGCAGAAGTAGAAATTAATATTTTCTTGTCTTTGTGTGACTAGATAAAAGAATCCTGTTATGTCGTTTAATCCTTCTCTCCATCCTCTGTGTGATATAGAAAGCTTATCGGATAATGCAACTGCTTTTAGCAACAGAGCCAAACAACTTCGAAGGCAAATGTGGTGGCGTGGATGCAAAGTAAGTGAATCAGAAGACGTGGGTAGACTGGCTAGACTCTCAAGGGGCAGTCCATGACAGGAAGGAAAGGGGCCTGTACAGCCTGTACAGGATGAGCTCTGTGAGGACAGGGGCTGTAACCGTCTTGCTTATTATTGTTACATCTCCTGAACCTGGGCATGGAAGGAGCTGGGTAAATATTTGTTGAATTAATGAATTCTTTTGGGGCAAGAATCAAGGAATCAAGTAGTCCTTAAAAGAATGTTTTTACAGGGGTTCATCAGGCCAGACATGGTAGTACACTCCTGTAATCCTAGCAGCTCGGAAGGTGCAGCAGGAGGATCCCGAGTTCAAAGCCAGCCTCAGCAAAAGTGAGGTGCTAAGCAACTCAGACCCTGACTCTAAATAAAATACAAAATAGAGCCAGGGATGTGGCTCAGTTGACCAAGTGCCCCTGTGTTCAATCCCCAGTACACCCCCCCCCAAAAAAGTGGTGTTTTTTCAAAATCTCTTACAGCAAATGGAATTAAGAAAAATCCCGTATCCCTCATTATTCCAGAGAAATAAGGAAATTTTCTTAAACGTTCAACCATGTCCTGGGAAGCAGCTTGAGACTAGAAGTCCAACAGTTCTTCCACTTAACAAGCATGACCCCTTTGACCCCAGCACCTTACCTGTCAAATGGGACACTGAAGACTTATTCTTCAAATGGGACTGATGAGCATGGCCATGACTTCCTCCCTCCATGAATAAACAAATAACATAAATAATAACAAAATTTTAACAAGTTAAAAAAACCGGAATCACTATATGCTACTATATTCCTGCAGAACATTTTATAGAAATGAATTTACCTCATAGTCAAGAATGGCTAGTAATCAGAAAACTCTTGTTCATTGAGGTGTTTAAAAATCAGTACCAATATTTTCATTTAAATTTTTTCAAAAGTTAATTAAGTCTAGCTTTATATTAACAGGGCAAAATAATGTGCATTTGGGGCAAAGTGGAAAAACTACCATAAAAAGTCCAGAAATTTTTCAGGTTAAATAAAGGATTAAAGAACTTTAGTTTGGGGCTGGGGTTGTAGCTCACAGGTAGAGTGTTTGCGTAGCACATGTGAGGTACTGGATTCAATCCTTAGCACCACATAAAAGTAAATAAATAAATTATTGTGTCCATCTTCAATTTAAAAACATATTTTTTTAAAAAAGAACTTTAGTTTTTAGTATAATGTGGGCCCTACTGAAAATATAGCTCCTATTTCCGTTAGTTCTGAGTCTGTTTCTACTTTTTTTGATTATTATTATAATGAATAATTTTTATAGGACTGATGTCCAAATTGCTGAACCACTAGTTGTGGTCTAGTCAGTTGTCAGTTAACTCCAATAAGAAGGGGCCATCCTAGTGTGTGTGAATAAGATCCACAGAAACTGCCCTGGGTCATTTTGTTAACTGTCATGAATGGAATGCCATAGACATGTCACCATTAATTCTACTTTTAGAAACATTAACTGTCACTGTTTCTATTTGTGATACTCATTAGATTTTTATCTGTTTATAATAACTGGGTATCTTCTTTCTGAATGAACCATTTTTAATCAACTATTCATAAAAATTATGAAAATAAATAAATTTCAGCATTTTAGGATTAAATGATGAATATGACAGTTTTATATAGAAAGATAACATAAACTTCAAGTGTCAAGTAGCTGATAGGAAACTGATTTAAGGTTTCTTCTCTTGAATATAAAACTGATTCCAAATAATCTTAGGCAACTTACTAAGTGAGGCTGTTTGTGACGAATCCAAAATATATTCCTTGAGATGGAAATTAAGGCACCATGAAGAAAGAGGGAAGAGAACACTAACATTGCTCTCCTGTACTTTCAGATTGTGTACTATAAATATGCTGCTTTTCAGAATTCCAGTTACCCACAGCCAGCTGTGGTCCAAAAATGTTAAAAATTGTCTCAACTCTTTCAAGAGAGAGACTGAATTCCCATGACTTTTACTACAAATATATTGTTATAGTTCTGTTTTATTATTAGTTGTTAATCTCTTACTGTACTAATTTGTAAACTTTATCTTAGGTATTCATGTTTAGGGAAAAACATAATATAATATATATAGGATTGGGTACTCTCCATGGTTTCGGGTGTCCATTGGGATCACATTCATAAGAACATATTCCCCTCCATCAGAGAAGACCTCTGTGTATTGACTGCCCGTGCTAACCGTCACATCCTGACAGTTGGACAGAGTTGCTATCATATACTTTTCCTGGCCTCAGAGACAAATATGTGAAACATAGACAGAGGGTCCAGACCCACGAAGGTGTTACTGTATCTTACAGTACAGCCTTGAATGGTCCAGTGAGGCAAAGCACTTGGGTTTGGGGGAACTCAAAATATTATTTATGAAAGAATGCAAAGCAGCCGTCAAGTTCATATGAGAAACAGATTGAAACCTTTCAAGGAATGTACCTGTTCATTAATGAGTTAGAGTAACATGGCAGATAGCAGAACAGATAGTCCTTACTTTAGGCTTTATAAATGAGTCAGACAATGTCTTTCATGTGTCTTTTTTGTGTGTTGTAGATAAAAGCCATCATGGCTTTGGTTGCTGCCATCCTTTTGCTAGTGATTATCAGTAAGTATTTACTGGATTGTTACTTCTTGGGGTTATTATGTGTTTGGGAGGTCATTTCATTCCCTTTTAATTATTTTCAGTTAACCTAGAATGTAATGTCAGGACTGAATGACTTGCTTAACTAAGTCAGGAGCCCTTATCTATGATCTTTAAAATGTTGTAATGTGTTTGTGAAATTTTTTGAGAATATGCAGAGGTACATTTCTACAGGGAAAGAGGCAGATTCTCAAAAGGAAGCCCTCTCTGACCTCTCATCACCACTCCCAAATAAGGGCTAAGTGACTTGTTCAAGGCCAAGACTGGCTCCTGTTCACTGAGGATGAAATCTTCATCTTCTGTTTATTGTTAGCTTCCAGGTGCATCGGTTAGCAGCCAGCATGTTGTTTTAGAAGGACAGATCCAGTGAATTCTCTAGATGATGTGTCATTAGTTTTATTTGGTTGTGGATTTGAACTGAACTACAGTCCTTAAAACATAACTCCTTTATTTCCTTAATATTATTTTTTGAGATCAAGTCATTTTTAGTATCTGAGTTTCTTTAAGCCCTCTTTACCCATGTTCACAGAGATTTTATTAAGTAGGTCTTGAAAGTGCCTCAGAATAATCATATGAAAATGTTTATGAGGTTATTTTTTGTTACTAAGAAAAGTTGTCTCATCTGGCTGGTGGCGCAGACCTGTAATCCCAGCTGAGGAGGGAGGCTGAGGCAGGAGGATCAAGTTCAAAGCTTCCACAATTTAGGCCCTCAGCAACTTAGTGAGACCCTGTCTCAAGATAAAAAGGGATGAGGACATAGGTCATTGGTAAAGTGCCTGGGGTTCAATCCCCAGGACCAAAAAAGAGAAGTACAGTTGTCTGTTTAGTTGTAGGTTTTCGGTTTGTGAAATAAGATAGAACTTATTTCTGATCCCCAAATCACTACTGGTGTTGCTCTTACAGTCATTAGCAGATGTGTTCTTTGAATCTCTTGCATGCAGGTTTCCAACTGAGGTCAGACAAAGCCATCTCTGCCCCCTCCTTTCAGCTCTCTTACATAAATAAGTAGGCTTTCTATAGTCTACAAATCCCTGTTTTTCCCTTTTTTGTACTTCTGGTGATTTCCCAGTTTTCAATGCCCGTGGCCACAGTTCTACAGTGTCCTCTAATGCAGTAAAGTTTAGGAAGACCAGGCTGTGCCCGAAGAGAAAGCCATGTGTTGGGCAGGCTTTGTTCAGCATGAGCTGGTGCTGTCAGCCTTGATCAGTGTCATTTGAACCAAAAGTACATATTAAATGTCTTTAAACAGAAAGACGGAAAACAGGGTTATGTATTAATTGGTTGACAAGAATGGGTTCCTTAAAGGAAAGAAATTAAGCAGACTTAGAAGATGAAGGGAAGAAGGCACAGGCACACAGTTTTGGAAAAAGAAGACTAGACCTCGATTGAAGATAGGAAGAAGACAATGAACTGCTATGAAGGCTTCCTAACAGAGAAAGAAAATTTCTTTTGTTGTTAATCTAGTTGTTAAAAGGGGTAGCTGTAACTTTCCTAGGTTAATCTACCACAGTGGATCTAAGCATCAGGTACATCCACAAGAAATTAATTTTTAAAATGCTATGGTTAAATGGTAGAAAGATTAGTAGAGGAAAGGGAACAGAAGATGGGAGAGGGAAGGAGAAGGGGAGATACCAGGAGGCTGAACTGGAACAAGACATATTCCATGTTTTCACAATTACGTCAAAATGGATTCTACGGTCATGTATAACTAAAAAGAATGAATAAAAAGACAGGGGTAGCTACAAAAAAAAAAAAAAAAAAGAATGTCCTAGCCAGAGGCTCATGAGAACTTGGGACTGTGTTTTCCCTAGGAGCTGTGATTCGTATTCACGAATTTAGTGTTTATGGTAACTTTATAGAACTCTATATCACTGTATCAAATAACAAGATCAACCACATGGTGTCAAAGTGGAAAATAAGGAGTAGCGTAAAGAAGAAAATAAAATAATCTTACCATACAGAGATAGCTACTCATTAATAAAACTGCTGTGTAGTTTCTAGTCTTTTCCTATTATATATAAACATGTTTTTCAGAAATTAAGATCATATTGTATATATTTCTTAATAAATATATTGTGAACATTTTCTCATGTTATTAAATATGTTTATAATATTTTGGCAGTGACATGCTGTTATGCCATAATTTGATCAAAATGCCTGTGTTAATTTGAGTTATTTTGTGATATTCTCGTATTTTTTTTTCCTTGTTTTTAAGTTGTATAAAGTCAAGCCCTTGTTACCCCTTTCTTTTTTTTTTTTTTTTTTTTTT